TTTTATCATGTACATGTGAGAGCAAGCAGTTGTTAAGTTAACTCGTGTTCTCTGCTCTCATTAAATACCTTTTCTCATCGAACTTTTCCCAGACTAAGGCAGTATGTTGGCTCCCAGGTAAATCAAAGTGCCAATATAATCCACTTTTCCCATAAAAGCAAATTTTTATTTCAGACAAAATGGTTCAGGTCCAAAACTGATGTCAGTTTAAAGGTGGAATGTATTAACATTAATTTATTTTCTTCTGAGGGTGGGATGATTGTAAAAATGGTTTTGTTTAAAATTGTACCAGGAATAATGGCCAAGTTGAAATTTCTGACTGCTAGAGAGATCTAAAAACTATATACAGCCAGAAGGAATTTATTTTCTGAAGCAAAATATCTAGAATTCTGGCAATGCACAATAGCCAACATATAATGAATCACAACTGAGCTGAAACCGCTTAATAGGTGTATTTTTCAGCACAAAAGCACTTTCACATTTGATTAGTGCTGAAGGTGCATCCATATGGTTCCTATACAGTGTCATGTAGATATACCAATGTTAAATTTGAAAAAAACAGACATAAATTGTGGGCACATGTGAGTGAACTCTGTGCTTTAGAGGGGAAACAAAAAAGAAGAAAAGAAAAACCAAAACCCAACCCCAAAACAACAGCAAAGGAACTGCATGTGACACATGAGCCAGCTGGAAAAGCCCTCTGACTCAGTCCCACAGCCTCTTCATTGTTTCTTTTTTAGCTAAGGGCATCCAGCGCTAGCTCATGTCAGGCAAAAGGATTGTTTTGGTCATGAAATCACTGCCACTGTTCCCTTCCTGTCTGAATCATCAATGTGTTGGAGCTACTTGGAGCTGAACAGATGTCTGAGGAGCATTTGACTGCATTTCTTCAGGTATGTTAGAAATCAGACTGAAGTAATTTAGCAATTATTTACCTATGTTAACAGATAATAGGTATGCACGTTTAGCAAAAGTCATGTCCTTTGAAGGAAGGTGCGATTAATACTTTTTAATTATTTCATAGTATGACTTTCCTCTCTAACTCTGCCACAATTTTACATTTTTCAAGGAAGTGTTATAAAGTTAACAGACTTCACTGAAGTACAGCCTTCTTTCCTCTTCCCCAAGATTTGTTTTAGATTAAGACTTTTCTGGCTATCACACGAACAAAATAACGAAATATCCACTGGGACTTCATTTGTGTGTGTTTAAAGTTGGTTTTCAAACTGGATATAAAGTGATAATTATGAGGTTTTATGAAGTGGTTCTCATTTTCAATGTACTACACAAAGAGAAACTGTTCAGTTTTCAATAGCCCTACGAGGCAGAAAGGCAAGTGAAGTTTCACTACCCAGACTCTCGTTTCATAGGTGGGCCATATAGATTCAAACCAGTATTTCCATACACAATTCCCAGTGCCTGGTTGCTTATACAAAAATAACCTGGTTTTCAGTTCTCACTTGGCAAACTTCCACACTGCTTATATATGGTTTTATGGCATGTAGGTTGCCTGGCGCTCCTAAAAATGGATCTCCTTTAAAGGGTACCATCACTATGAAAACTTTTCCCTAATTTTCTCATGGCAACATAGTGAATGGGATGAGAGCTGCACCAGGCTTGAAGAGGACTTGGTGCTCTACCTTCTCCCCAGTGTGCTAGGCCTGCCTACTTCAAGTATTTCTAAGTAAAAATCATTTTGTCTGAGCTGACTGATTGTGGTCCTGATTCTGCACAGAACTACTTACACTTGCGACTTCATGCATGCAAACAATTAGCTCCAAGGATACTGGTAAAACACACGCATGCTTTTTGCAGTACGAGACATTAGCAAAAGTGAAGGAACTGTTGAATGCAATCCTTCCTTTTCATATCCAGTTGGATTTTGACACCAGAATATTAACTCCTTTATTACAATTACAAGAAACAATTATTTCTCCATACAAAACTGAAAATCAAGTACTTTTAAACAGTATCCTTTTTTTTTTTAAGCAGATCATAGCAAACTATTTAAAAGTACCCCTTAATTGGTCAGAGCATGCAGAGGTGCCAGTAGGAAGGAGGGGGTTGTTCACCGAGTGTTCACCCTACACAAACAGCTGCACATGCAGCACCGTAACGCGTCGCCATCATTTTTTTAAAGCAGCAGAAGCAAAGGTTAATTGCTTGCATTTACTGCACGGTTCAAAGTGACCTCATACAAAACACTTAGCCTAACAGCTGCTTGAACTTTACAGTCTGAAATTTCATACCATTTGTTGGAATTACCTTTTAATTAGCCCTTTGGGGGTATACGTGGTGTTTATTGATTAATCCTTCAGTAGCTGTTTTTTAAATAACAAATTAATTGTCTATGTTGGGTAACCCAGTCACGCTCTGCCATTCCCCCACCCTCCTTTTGCAGTGTTGGGTGGGAACAGCAGCACGCAGGCAAAGCGAGGAGAGGAGAGGAGAGGAGAGGAGAGGAGAGGAGAGGAGAGGAATTCTCTTCAGAGGAGAGGAGAGGAGAGGAGAGGAGAGGAGAGAGCTTCAAGCTGCTGCCTATTTAGCTAGCCCCACAAGTAGAAGTAGTATTGCTTCTTCAGCACAAAACACTGAGCCTAAATTACTTTTTCCTGCCGAGAGTCAGGCTTTTTAGTTTTGGTGCTGTGCTTTTCCTAATATGGCTGCGACTGTGGCTTGGGCTAGCATCAGCAAGACCGGCATTAACTGCCTATCCCCACTTCCCACCTCTCTCCTGGGATGAGTAACCAGAAGACTGCAGTACCACGGCTGGTGCCATCAGCCCCTGAGGACGGTGGCAAGAGCTGAAGATAGCTAGATTTTGTTACTTCTTGTAGTTTCGGCAGTGCCAGCAGAGAAAAAAAGCATGAGGTTCTGTCATGCTGGGCACTGGAAAAACAGTCCTTTCCTGAGCGAAATGGATGAAGCAGGAAGAATAAGGAGACCATGGAGGGAGAGGAGATCGGTGGGTCAGGGCAGGGGAGGTGCAGTGGCAGTCTGGGCTGTAACAGCCCGACTGCTGCAAAGGGAAGCAGCACGAGTGAGGGCTGCCTAGGAAGGGGCACACACAAAAGGCGTCATCAGATATCACCCTCCCCTGCATGTGCAGTCGTTTTGTGCCCAGGGGGAACTGTAAAGAGCTGCGAGACAACACAGAATTGGGTCTACAGGGTTTTCTTACACTCCTTCATCAAGGCAATGGCTTTCGGCTCCTGTTTAGTGCCTGGCCCTCACAGCTGCCACTGAACTCAGAAGGACGTGCTTCTGGAGCATCTCCACACTTCAGCTTGCTGAAACTGTTTTCATTTTTGTTGACTTCCAACACTGGTTTGGGGGACAGTTTTCAGGGATCCAGTCAACCTCTCTGTTTATTCCTCCCCCACTCCCTACCACTTCTGCTCAACTCCTCCAGGTCTACCAGACTGCATGGTTTGCCTGCAATGAGTTCCCTGCCCTGCCTAGACTCTGTGGGAAACATGGGGCCTTAAATAATTAGCACGTGCCTGTATGGAAAATATCCTTATGCAATTGTTGAAACAGAAAGCAAAAAAGCGTAACTTATCACCTATCCCGGCTCCCATAGTAATGTTCAACCAAATGCATTATTCTCTCCTCTCGGTCTCCCACCTGCACTTAGTTCAGCATTTTGGAAAAAGGAGACCATAGATGCTGCACTTGCTGACGGGCTGGTAGCCAGATGTTCGAAACAGCTCTTTCAGAGCTAGGTACCTTTAGGTTGCAATTGTCATCTAGTCAGCAGTTAGCTGCTCATTGTTGTACCAGCATTGAAACTCAGAAGCATTGCAAGTTTCAACCACAGAAGCCCTATGTAATAACACTGTTTCTTGGTTTACTGTAGGGAATAATTTTAAAACTGTATCTGACCAAACTGCTGGGGAAGCCAAGGCTGTAGCCTTATGTTCTGGCAGAGATAAATTAACAGGTTTTGCCCACCAAAAATAGGGTTTTTTCCCTTCCCTTCCACTGCTCTCCCATCACATAGGAAAGTAATTCAACTCTGTAACCCACAAAATCTTTGTTTGCAGATTGATTTTCCACTATTACAACAAGCAACAGCGAGTTGACTTAACAGGCAACCAGAGGACCACCAGGACTGACCCGTGGTAAGCGGCAGGAGTGCATGCCTGGGAGTGAGGAATGGGGGAGAACAAAACCTTCCTTTTTTTCTTGTTAATTTGGCTCACACCATAAGCTGAAACTATGCACTGAGATGCAAATAAACAGTGCCATACAGCAAGTCAACAGCCACTTCTTCAACCACTGTGCAACTCGGCCTCTCTTTCTAAGAGACATTTCATCTTGAAAGTGTTGAACAGGACTTTCTGCTCGTTAGCCAATTGATCCTTGTAGCCTTCCTGCAGATAGGCGGTCAGCAGGGCTCTCCTGCTTTGGAGATGGGAATTCTGAACTAGGGCAGCCAAGATTAGACTTTTACTTTCATGACTGCAAAGAGATAACTCAGAATTTCTAGCTCTCCATCAGCCTTCTGCATACCCTGCCCTTATGCCCACCTCCGCTAGCCAAATCTTCCTAAAGAATAGCAAGTACTTGTTTAGTTCTTCTATTTCAAAGAAAAAATCGGCTCCTGTTCGGGGGGAGATTAACCAAGGCACAACATCACTGATGTTGCAAGGTTTAAACACAGTTTTTGCTCTGAAGAAAAGTCCTGGAAAGAGTCCTCTTTGGAGTGGTATATGTACATGGGGCATCACCTGAATTATGATCCCTGGAAGCCAGCAATAGTTAGATAGAAAAGCAGACCAAGAGCAACTCAGGGATCACGCTCAAATAGTCTGTCTACAATGACATGGAAAATGCCTGTTCTCCATGATCAGCTCAGATGCTTTCATTGCTGCCTTATCTCTGCTGCACTGAGAGGTAGATGGCTCTTCATAAAATAACCCATTTTGTACAAGACAAGCCAGTATCAGGTAGGAAAGCAAAGCAGACTGCTCAAGTAACTTAGGCTTTTTTCTTACTTTATACCAAGATGCTGTCTGGTAGGTGACTGAGGAGTCCCGAAGAACTTTACAGGGCAGCAGCGCTTCTTCAGCACATCTCACAGCAACATCTGGGACCACCACAGAAGCCTCACCGATCAAGCACCAAACTGCAAAGCACAGGTACACATCGCCTTTAAAAGAGATTGCCTAGGTAATCCTCCCTGTCTTCCCAAAACATATCCCCACAAAATAAATGTGAAAGTCCAGAATGAACAAGGCAAGGCTCCCCACTTACTGTTCCACAGGATGATGAGCAGAGCGTAGACTACTGAAGACATGGCTTTTGCTGCTTCAAATCACAGAGCAGCAACAGCGTGCCTCTTTGCAGGGCGGACTGTGAGAGCAGAGTGAAACTGCTACTGCTTCCAGAGCGGTATTTCTGGAGGCAGACTGGGGAATCCCCCAGATGCTTGTCTTGAAGTTCCCCGTCACAGGGAAAATCCCTACATGTAGGAGCTAGTGCTCCTCCCACTAAATCTGTTAGGTCACTCCCATTTCTGCACTGCCTGCACTGGTAGCACCTCACCTCCCTTTTTTTCTTCTCTTTTTTTCCCCCTCTGTGTTGATCTGAACAGAAATAAGGTTGATCATGGGGCACTGTGGGTCGGTGTGAAGGGCATCAAAATCAGCACTGAAAGAATCTCTCTCTTGAGTGACAAAATGCAGGGGAAAGGGTTTGTCAGCCTCCCAAAATCCCCTCTCAACCCTCTCTCTGCAACAGAACAGTGTCTGTGCAAAGGTTGGCCACATGAAGTGACATTTCTGAAATCACATTTAAGCCCTCAGGTCGTAACACCACGAGGACACTGTGACTTGGGTCTATGGGCTAAGCAGGAATTTACAGCATGGCTGAGCAATACAAACTATATTTCTGTAGTGTTACAAGTGTAACTCCCCATGTAGGCACTCATGATGTAGAAGCAGCATCTCTTCTTAGTGTATTTTCAAGACAAGCAGGGGCAGCTGGAGTGACACAATTCTACCAAATTATATGCTGGAAAATTTCCTCATGAAAAAAAATCAAGGCAGCTCCCAGAAGAGGAATCATTTGGACACCCCCTGTAGATATCTGAAAAAGAAAAAAAAAAGAAAAAAAGTCCTTTCCTTGTGATCTGTAAGAGCTGTTTCCCCCTAGAGAATTTTTGAGGAAGTCTGAGGTTGGTCATAGAAGCATTTACAAATCATGAAACTCAGAAAGTTGCTGACATGTTATTTTTGCAAAACAGTTCTAGCTGCTGTCTTTAGGCTACTGAGATCACAATGGAGAGAAGCCATTTAGGAGGGTTTTTTCCAAGTTTTGATGGGTGAAGAGTGTATGGTCAGCCCCTTTTGAAAACCAGGTTCCTGGAAGCCATCAGGCTGGGCACCCTAAAGCCAAATCACCTCTAGAAAGTTTTGTGAGAAGTCAGTTTGACAAGTCCTCGGCATGCAAAAGTCCAACTCAGGCGGGCAAACGCCGTGGGTGGGTAACACTTTCAGAAACCCCAGTCTGTTCTGTGGGGGAAGTCAGACAGCAATTTCACTGGGGCCTCACTGTTGAAATAGGCTACTTATTTTTAAAGCTTTTTGCTTCTATCTTCATTGACCGACATAGTAAATATAACAGGCTCTAAGCTTTATTTTTCTCTTAGTGTTTTCCGTTTTCAAGGACCTCAATCCATTACTTAGAAGATAGGTACAAGTAAAATGTAAATCCCAGTGGATCTCTCTAGAGGGAGAGAAAATCCTGAACTCTCACTTCTTTCTCCTGTGTGAAATAATAGAGTCCTTGAGAAGACAGAAGTGAGGGGAGGTTGCTGAAGGAAATCTTGGAGAGAAGAGGGCTCCAGTTAATATATTTCACATCTGTTTTTCACTAAAATGATGGCTCTTCTGCCCCTACGAGTCAGTCACACATCAAGCCCACCTCCAAGAAGGGCACTCAGCTTTCACCCAAGTGCCTCTTTTTGTGAGTCCTGCAGAGCTACGTATTTACCCTTCATAAACCAGTCAAGAGACAAAAACCTTCTCTACGTCCCTTTTCATTGCGGGGAAAACGGTTTCCCAGTGAGCAAACCACAGTAAGCTCCTGCCCCTGCTGTGGGTCAGCCCACAGCAATCTATCCCAAAACGGCTGACCAGATGTAGTCTGGAGGGGCTGTGGCACGCCTAAGGTTGAGCTCACAAGTTTGCTCCCACAGAAGTGCACCAAAGGTAAGCATAAAGGGTCAGGCTTCAGTTTGATCTGGGAAATGTACATGCCACACACGCTTGCCAAGGTGATGTTAAACAACATTCTTCCTCAGTTAGTTAAAATACAGGAGTTAGGGCTCTTAAAAACACACAGTTTTTCCCTCTAAGACAGGCATAGCTTCAAGCAAAACAGCCCTTTTCCTCCAGAAGTATTTGCAAGCTCAGCTGCTGTTCCACAGAACAGTATGTGAAGCAAGAGGGCAAGATATGAAAAACAAAAACTGAAACTCCCTTTGCTGGGAGAGGAGAAATCATTTTGCTTCTAAACTTTCCCTGGTTGGGATTTTTTCTTTAGGGAAACTTTGAACCAGGCTGTACTTTCCATCGTAACTTTTAATACCCTTTATATGTTTTCAAAAAGAAAGCCTATTATCTCCAGAGCCCTGGAAGCTGCTTCGAGTTTCACTCCAGTCCTGAGCAGTGGAAGCAATGGGAGCTCAGCGGGATGGGTTCGGGTGTGGGAGTGAAGAGGCAGTGATTGCCTGCCAGCCTCCTCCGTGAGAAAGAGATCCACATCTTTGCAGGGCCCTCAGGAACCGCAAGATCTGCACGGTTATGTGAATAAGCGGAAGTTTATAGTTAAGCGTGTTGTTCTGTGGACCTAATGAGACCTGCTTTCCTACAGGTGTGTCCTATTGCCTCTTCCTCTCCTTCCCTTGCCCGTACCACTCGCTACACCAACTGTAAGCCCTCGATTTCACTGAGCAAGGAGCACCATCTGCTTCTGGTGAGTCCAGAGCCGCACGTGATGACTGACATTAGCAAGCAGCGTGTAAAACGGCTGCGTTCTGCCTACCTTTCCCTTAGCAAGGGCACTCATTTGGATCTCCATTTTTGACCCAGCTGCTGATTTTCATGAATTTCATAGGCACTTAATTCTCTTTGAGCCCTGATCCCTCTGTCAGTTTGATAGAAAGCAGGTTCAGAACATACCGGCTGATAGACAGCCAGATGGCATGATCACAGAAATTTCATTCTCTGCGGGAAATGAGGCTATAAGCACAAGGATGTGGGATGGATTCATGGGATAAGGTTAAAAAGTCAAGACTGTATATTTTTTGCAGTGTTGATAGAGCCTTGAGAATGCTGTTCATGGAATCATATCCTTTTTCCTTGAACCAGGTAGGTACCGGCTCCCTCAGATACTCAGGTAGTGGATTTTTCTTATTTTTTATTCCAGTGTGTGGCTGCAAAAGATATGTAAGATTCCTTCTTATTTCATGTATTTGCCCCTGAGTGCCAGTGTTCATCAGGAAGCACAGAATTTTAAAAAAACCCAAAACCTTAGATCTCTACAAGGAGTACAGAGCTCTCCACAATGAAGAATCAAGGGTTAAGACAGAGGTGTCAAAACAGCATTTAGCATTTCTGGCAAGGTACAGATTTTTCTGTATTGGGATATGATTAACAAATATCCATTGTTCCACTGCATTTAGGTTCCTGCTTCGAATAAGGTCCATCCATATGCCTCGTGTACTGTGAAGCCGCTGGCAAGGGGGGCGTGTTTATTTATTTTTATTATTATTAATCTCCTGTGCAGCAATAAAAACTGTCTGCTTCAGTTCAACTGACAAAACCAGGACGGCTTTTGTTTTATGTTTTAGTAGACAACCGTTTTTTAAATAATATACTGAGTGCAATGTGGCACTGTCAGCCGAAGGAACAGTGACAGAAGAATCCACAGCCACAAATGCAGAGTAGTCATGTATTTTGAGGGGTCCAGCAGAGCTACAATCACAGCATTTACTTTCCTGTCATGCTAGGATCTTGACGGTCACCACACCAACAATTAAAAGCAACTGGGAGTATCCAGATTGCAGCTAATGAGAGGTACGTAGATTACTCACAAACTGGAGTTAGGAAAGTTTAAGAACAAAGTTCTCTTCTCTGTCCCTTCATGGCAGATGTTGGGTCAGGGTCTGCCTTTGCTGTTTAAACAGTGGCAATCCAGCAATACTGAGAAACCAAAACACTGGAACTCTGACCTGCTGGGCAGCACAGAGCTTTGGGCTACAGACTATCTCCCGCTCCCAGCTTAATAAATAACACCCAATTAATTATACACAAACAGCCACTCCTCTAAAACGCCTGGACTTTGGAGTGAGCCGTTTGAGATGGGCCAGCGCTGTTTGTCAAAGTAGTGATTAAGAATACTCATGTAGAAATTGAAGTGTGACCCAAAATACAGACTCAAAATTGAGGTATCCAAAATCAAAAGCCTCTTTAGAAACTGTTGGCCTGGAGTTTAGAAATTGCCTTTAAGCAAACGGGAGCAAGAACTTATCCCGAGTCTATACAACTGTAAGAATTGGAATAAGGCTGTACTGAAGCTCCAGCTAGTCCAGCATCTTGTCTCCAACAGCAGGCAGGGAGCTATCAGGTAGCCAAGCACTTATCCCGTGTCTATACAACTGTAAGAATTGGAATAACTGAAGCTCCAGCTAGTCCAGCATCTTGTCTCCAACAGCAGGCAGGGAGCTATCAGGTAGCCAAGCAGACCAAGGTGCTATATTCAAACTGCAGTGTCCGCTGGAGGTGCACATTGAAATCTCATTTTTAACAGGTCCCCGGTTCCTCTTTTATCATCAGCATGCTAGATGGTGCTGGCGTCACCAGGACTAGGGACATCTTGGACCACACTTTGCAGATTTCAGTGGACTCTCCATTGGTCACCCTCCATGTGGGGTTGTTCATGCTGCCTTCTCCAGAAGGTAAGGACCAGATTATTGCCTGCTGTCTCTACTGAATTCTGCAACAGTACTCCCCACATAGTCCCAGCCTTGCAGATCTCTCTTGTACCTTGCATCTCCTTACCACACCTGGCCAGGCACTGTTGTAGTAGAGATCTAACGTTCAGCTGGTCTGCCCCCAAATCATGCTGTGGAAATACTCCTCCTGGTGTTCCTCTCTCTTTTTCTCTTGCCTATACATCCTCCCCAGACACACATGCTATGGGACTTCTTACATTGGAAGAGAATGAAGGATCTCAGTAGGTCACCTTGTACTCCTAGCTGATCCTGTGGCCCACCAGGAATCTAAGTCCGGAAATCCTCC